CATCTTCTTCAGAATCGTTGAGAGCCTTTCGGGAGTTCTTGAGAGCTTTTCTGCAATGTTCTTCGTCTGAAAATTCTCTCCCCCTTCCTCTCAACTGAGACCCCTGTTTATAAGTGTGGAGGGGATGAAAATATGCTCTAGGGTTTTGGAAATTCGTCCATATCCCTTGGGTCTCAAATAAAATGGGTTTTGGGCTCTATTTGCTTGCATTTAATAGCCAGAAAAATCAGCACTTGTTCGATGTATCTGGACAGCCTTTTTAACAAGGTTCGTAGCCATTTTCCATGCATACGGATGGATTTCTTAACCATATTCATTGCTCTCTTTATCAATTGGATCATGATTCTTATTCATTGGGCTACTATTTAATTATGGGCTCAAAATAAAGAATTTAATAGGACCGGTCCATTCTTTTCAAAGAATTAAATTAATTGGATATGAAATGTTCTGAATTAATTAAATTCTATCCGAACAGATCCATATTAATATTTTCTCTGAACTTTATGAGTAGCCCGTTATACTTGAGTTCGATCCAATAGCATCTAAAAGAGGCCCAATAAGGTCAATAGTAGTTCGATACGGTTTGAAGAGGCCCAATGACTATCAGAACCGGCCCAATAATTTTAGATGTCTACAATTACATATTTTAAAGTCATATTCACTTAAAATTGGAATTTCGTCAATCTAGGATTGAAAGATATGTTCACTATCAATAAGGGTATCTAAAAGAAAGTGTGTCGACACAAAGCCCGGATGATGGAGAACTATCAGAGCCCATTTGATGACTCATTTTTAGCTTATCAAACTTATTACCCAATTTTTTCACCAAACACGTAAATTGTGATTTCAGTCAATTTCAGTGTTATCAAACGGACTCTCAAACTAAGACGTAAAATATCATAGCCTTTGATTTATATATCTTTTTAATTAATACCGTTGTTAATTTTTGATGATTTTTTCTTCACATATGTTTATTATTTTAATAAGATTGAATGATATTTTAACTATTTAAATATATATAATAAAAATATTAGGTCTTAAATTGATAATAAAAATATTAAGATGCATGATATATTAGGTCTAGATTCATTATTGATAATGAATATATCTTTCGAGTTCTAGATTAATAAAACTTGATTAAACTTTAAGTAATGAGTGACATTTTTGTATTCTAATCTTGTCTACATGACTACATAAAAATATACTTTTTTCCGTCACAGAATTATGTTCTCAATTGTACTTTTGGGTCCTTTGATTGTTAATTATTTATAATTTACATTACTTTATCATATAAAATTAATTTTATATACTTCATTGGAGTATATATTATTCAAATACTCCGCATTAATTTAAATTAGATTTTATATCTATAGATTTTTAGATATTTAGAATCAAACGTCCACCTAGAAAACGTCCACCTAGATAAAAGTGAAAACTTAATTGTATGACGGAGGGATATATATCTTCATGTGGAAGTAATTGCATCTAAGAATATAAGACACCCCTACTCATAAGCAAGACATCAAGTATATATGTACGTAGACGCATGCAAGCATGGTATATCTATCGTTCTTGCTTGGGAATGTAGCTTGCATTATTGTACTCACTGCTCATTGACGAGATTTCCTTGAGCTTTACAAACAATATCGACCTCTATATATATTCCATAACTTAGATTAGTTCACTTATATTGAGCTGATTAACTACAGCTAGTACGCAGTACTTCGTAATAATGGAGATCAAGACCCTAATTAGCAGCTACTTCTCGATTAAGAAATTGACTAAATTAATCACTGTGCTCTTATTTGTGGCTGCCATGTTTACGGCAGTTTTGGCACATTCATCCCCGGCCGCTCGAGCTGCTAAAAGCCACCATAGAAAAGGCAATTATAATATCCATAAACATCCTAGAAACGGCCACTCAGGATCAGCTTCATCATTACTTTCCACTCTCACATGGAATCCAAAGTTCGGGCTCCAACTTCATGCTATAGTCTTTCATATGCTCATCATACTTTTCCTGCTCTAATCTGATGATTAATCGAGCAAGCTAGCCGGTACGCGAGTTATATTTATACTTCTTTCTATGTTATTGAAACGCTCGCTCAACGTAGCAACGAGAGGAATTAAACTTCAGTGGGCGGGATAAAAAAATACACCCATATATCTTTTATAAATTTCTAGACTTTTTATATATATATATATGTAAACTTGAAGGTATTTATATTAAGACCAAACGAGCTATCTGTAATCATGGGTGCTAAACAAACGGTCAAACCACAATCGAAATTGACTCTGATACTATGTTACGATCTGAGGTTCCATATTAAAAACTTTATATAGTGTTTTATTGTTTTATAATTTTCCGGTGTGGGACAAATACTTAAACACACACCCCACTCAGCCCGCACAATTTATCAAAATTGTGGTGGACAGAGCACGAGTTGGCCCCTTGGCTCTGCCTATGAATGTATGATTATATTGATAGTGCTTTCCTTCCACACACACACACCACGGCTTGACTATTCAAGTATAAAAGAGGGTGTTCGGATCTTATTCTTAAAACTGCTTCAGCTCCCTGAAAAGTTGGAATATTTGGATGAAAGTGAATAAGTACTTTTGATGCTCTAATTTACTCTTAGAAACAGTTTTTTTAGAAGCCGGGGAAGACCAGTTTCTGAAAACTGATTCTGATTCTGCTTTAAAAAAGAAGCAGAAGCAGAAACAGAATCAGTTCCAAACACCTCCTAATTAGCTTATAATGGGGACTAGGGATGGATCCGAGCCGGGCCGGGCCCGGGCGGGCTTTTTTTCAAATTGTTGGGCCCGGAACCGGCCCGGGTTGATACCGGGTCCGAGCCTAACCGGGCCGGGCCGGGCCGAGCCCGGGTCAAGGTAATTTTTTTTTTTGCTTTATAATTAACCCCCGACTCCCCCCCCCCCCCCCTTCACCCCCACCCCTAAACCCCCCCCCCCCCCCAAACACCCAGCCATAACCAAGAAAATCAAAAAAATGAAAAAAAAAACTCAGGCCCGACCCGAATCGCCCGGGTCGGTTCAACAAATATAGGGCCCGAGCCCGGCCCGCCCAACCCTCCCCAACCGGGTAAAAGCCCGGGTCTGGTTAGCACCAACAGGGCTGGTCCGGGCCCGCACAGTGGCGGGCCGGGCCGGTTCCGGACCGGGCCGAACCGGTTGGGTACATCCCTAATGGGGACCTTGCTCCGGTTTTGGTGAAAGCCAGACTGGAATGAAATTGGGTGGGCAAATCGCTTCAACTGGTGCCTGTTCTGGGCCCGTATACGTAAAAATTTGGCAAGCATGTATCATTCTAGCAATTACTCCGTAAATCCTATCATTAGAATTGCTCAAAATAAGACCACAACAAATACAAAGTTCTAAAACATAGCTAAGTTCGTTTCTCTCTCAAAATAGGACTTATTTAGCCCTATTAATCAAAAGAATAAAAGAATAAAAGATTCTTTAAATATATAGGACTGAATGAATCTTATTTTGGGTGGAAACAATGGTATTCATGTTTAAGAACTCGACCAGACCCTAGTCAAGTAGACTAGGAACTAGACTGGAATTGTACAAATTGAATTGTATGCTTGAAAAATACTAGGGGTACACAATTAGTACACAGAATGTACACAAACCCACTAGTTGCCTGTGCATAGGCAATTCGTTTAAAAGGACAAGATTTTATGTCAAAATGCTTGTGTACACAAGCAATGTACAATTTATGTACACCAAGAATGGTTCTGTATGCTTATATGCTAGGATGTATTTTAATTTCTATCCTCAGTCCTAATTTTTTAAAGCTTAATTTCACCCTTTAAATTCGATCTGCCAACTTATTTTTCATTGTTTAACTAATTTTTTCACATTCCCTTTAAACAGTGGCGGAGCCAGAAAAATGGCTCAGGGGGGTCGAAAATGGTGGATCGTTTTTAAACAATGTCTGAGTTGAGCACTACGTATTTCATACGTAGTTTAGATAAATAGGCACTCGTAGCAATAAGATAGATTGTCTTTGCTTTGTTTCTGAGTCATGTCACGTAAGTATTGAGTGAATTGTATCCTTTTATTAAAATTTGGGAAAATAATCTTTAGTGTGTATCAAATTTTGTTGATTTTACGTTTAGATAGTGCTGATTTTCCAGAGGTCATAACTTTTTACTCGTAATGAGTTACGGGGGTCATAATATATCAAATCGAAGATAATTCAGAGCTTTATACTCTCGAACTTTCAGCGGGGTCGGCTGACTACCCTGACCCCGCTTGGCTCCGCCCCTGCCTTTAAATTAAGTCCTTTTTCCTTGAATATTACTAAATTAAATTCAGAAGAAGAAAATGACTTGTTTTAAAAAATTCCAAAAAAGTGACATATTTAGTGACTAGATCTCATGGACTCATCATTTACCAATGACTTGTAAATACACTATAGTGACTCTTTTCTAGTTACTCATACATAGTGCGGTAGTGCCTAGTCATATTTTTGTCCGAAAACAAAACTAGTCATGTTTTTGTCCGGTGAAATTCTATCAGTAATATACATGTCATTTTTTCTTAAATCAAGTAATTTGTGTTCCTGTTTTTTTCTTTCATCTGTACCATTTCTACTTTTCTTCAAGTGTAATTCAGACAAATTTGTAAAATTAAAAGAAAGGATGTGGAGTATCAAGTTATGTAATGACTAATGAAGTGCTATTTTAAAAGAAACTGATGGTGATACGCTATTGATTAGTCAAAATGGCTGATTTGACTAGGCAAGCATTCAAATTAGGTCAAGTCAATTAAGAATTTTGCAATCAATTACCAATCATAGCCTAATTTTGTGGCACAGTAGAAAGTGAATTATCCTAGTAGGCTGGTAAACTGTAATGCAATGAGATAAATTCATACAGTAATAAACATTCCCAGATAATGCTACTTCGATTGCATTCCATTACATTGCATTACACATCATCAATGATAGCATTGGTTTTATCATTTGGCAGCAAGTAAAAAAACAGTGCATTCCATAAACCAGAGATAAAATAATAAAATGGCGATATAAATGATATATGTATATAATATGTCTTTAAATCTGTTGGCAGATCCATCAGATCTCGTATATATTGCACTAGTGTTTCCACGAAGAACACTTCCTTCTTATCATCTGCTTGAAAGATAACAGAAAGGTAAAAAAAATGAAGGAAAAGCATCGGGTTGGGCGATAATATACATCAGGTGGGCAGTCACTACTAGTCAATCAATTCGCAACCCTAGCTTGAACAGCAACCCCCTCGTTTCCCCTCATCATTGACATTAATACTCGTTCCTCTAGAAGGAACAGATAAAGTAGCACCACCATCGCCATCGCCGGCCTCGATGGCCTTCTTAGTCACGATATGATATATCTGAGTGAGGACTTCTGTGAACGCATTCTCAACGTTTGTTGACTCCAGCGCAGAGGTTTCCATGAAATAGAGAGACTCCCTCTCTGAGAACTCCTTACCTTCCTCAGTTCGAACCGCGACTAGATGTCTAAGGTCTGATTTGTTGCCAATGAGCATCACGACGATGTTAGGATCAGTGTGGTCTCTTAGCTCTTTCAACCACCTGCTCACATTCTCAAATGTGACGTGCCTGGTGACATCATACACAAGCAAAGCCCCAACTGCTCCTCTGTAGTAAGCGCTGGTAATGGCACGGTACCTGCAATGGAGGATACGAATTTTGAGATTATTGTATTTAATTGGTACACATGACATGTCAATTCCCATATTATTCTGCTTTTAACTTGGGAGGAGAGGGGAGTAAATGAATAAACACATATCAATCATGAATATAATGCAAAATGAAACAGGTTCAGACAATAATCAAGAATTGCTCTTCTGCGGAATTCTATTTCCCTCCACTTAAGGGAACTAACGAACATTTTGTTACGTATTATTTATTCTTGCTGGAGAAAGAGGGCATGGATGCGTTCAGATCAAAATAACCTCATAAATTCTGTTTGATTACTTGAGGTTGATGAACTCACATTTAGGTTGGGCTCACTCTAATGGCTGATAACACATCTGGGTCAAACTACACTAAGAACTTGATTCTAATTAATTAGCTACTAACTACAATCCAAGGCCTTCTTAATCCATTGCTTTCTATTTAGAGAAAATGACACCAATATTACTAATGAGTTTGGGTTGTACAAATATATGACCACATTTAAAATTGACAAAAAAGTGACTATAATATAACACTCCCGTAATAATGAAAGACACATTCCTCATATACCCTGTCCCTTCAATCTGCTTTCCCGACAGACAACCAGGAGGCTTCAGCCCTAATCATTCCGTCACCGATCAACAACGAGCAATTGCTGCCTACTACCACGAATCCCGTCGACGCCGCTGCCTCCAACCGAGCACCAGATGTCGCTGTTGCCGTACATCCTTCCGCCGCTGCCTCCTAGTGCTCACCAGACGCCGCCGCTGTCGCGCATCGTCCTTCCGCCGCCGCCTTACTACAACGAATCTCACCGTCGTCCTGTAGATGTCCCTCTCCGCCGTCACTGCATCTCATCTCCTTCTCTTTTCTGGTTTCCTGTAAACCATTATCACTTGATTTTTGCTAAATACAGATCTGGAAATTGAAATTATGAGTAAGTTTTTTGTTGATTGGGTTTAGCCGATTGAGTTTAATTTGCTATTGAGATTGCCAACGGTGGAGGATTGGTGCAAAGGTCAGCGTCCATGTGAGACTTGGAGGAAGCTAGCCAGACTTGGATGAGGATCGATGTTGCTGATGGAGGCTAATGGGACAATTACCAGGTTTCTAGCGCAGTGGAGGTGTATGGTGGTGCAATGGTGGTGTGAGGAGGGGGCAGAGGCGTTGAGGTGGTTGGGGAGGCGGGACAAGGGTGGACGGTGGACCAAGCGGGCAAGCGGGTATTGTGGAAGGTCGGCGGGATATGTACTAACTGCGCGGCAGCAGTAGAGGCTGCGGAGCTGGCTGTGCAAGACTGCGATATTGGCGGTGGGGATGATGGTTTTGGGCGGAGATGTTGGAAATTAGGCAGGTGTAATGTAACTGATCAGTGGCGGTGACGGGCTGGGAAGGTGGACACGGTTAAAAAATTTGTCACTAGCCGTTGTCACTGTAACTCTTTAATTGGGACGGTGGTCACTGGAGTGATAATCATTAGGACGGTGGCAACGGGAGGAGTAACTGGGACGGTGGTCACCGGAGGCCGGTAGTAACTGGGATGGTGTCACTAGAGTGTTAGTGATTAAGACGGTGTCACTCGAGTGGTAGTAACTGAGACGGTGTCACTGAAGCGGTAGTAACTAAAACAGTGTCACTAGAGTGGTAGTAACGAGACGGTGTCACTGAAGCGGTAGTAGTAACTCAGACGATGATCACTCAGACTGTTGTCACACAATTTTCATATCCAAACTACTATCTTCAAAAATAAAATTAAAATAAAAAACATTAATTTTTATGGACTTATTATAGAGTTCATGGTTATGGATTGTATTGAAAATTTGAAATAATATTAAATTAAAGAAGCGTTAATTGTGATAGGATGTGTTGTTAAGCATCTGGTGCGCACTAGAATTAATATACGCAGTAAGATCATTCGAAAGGTCGTTGCCGTGCTTAAGTCAAGTGCTAAGGGATTGTTTCCAATTTTATTAGCTGCTAAGACACTTTTTTGTCTTTTCATAGTTAGACTCACTTTTATGGAATTGGGCCTTCTAATAGTAATATTAGTGTCCTTTCCCCTTCTATTTATTTATCTGTTGTGGGGCTCTTACATTCTCCCTTAAGTGGACAACCGGGTCATTATTTAATCTTACCGGTTGTTGAGTTCTAATGTGCTTCCCCATAAATTGAAGCACAAAACGCAGTGGCTATATTGAATCACACCCTATGTTGCACGGAAACGTGGAAACATGGGGAAACGTGAAACAGAACACACCATCTTTCTATAAAAACAAGTGTTTGGAGAGTTTTAAAAGAGTTATTGAAACGAAAAACGCACTATTCCCCAAAGTGTTTCCATGCTTCATACACTACATGTCATATGAACGTTTCAGCGAGACCTCAAAATCTATGAAATGCTAGGTAGTATCATCTAGTCGGGTCATCATAATCTGGTCTCAGAATGCATGTTGGGGAGGATGAATAGACTACAGGCTACTGAGCAGGATAATGCAAGTGGGCCGAAGCTACTCTGGTATCATAAAATAGAATTCAAGATTGGGCTGTAGTAGCTCAACCAGGACATAATATGGACAGTGGGAACTTTGGTGTTCTAGTATTTATATTACTTATGTGCCTAAGGAATAAACATTGCATTCCTCATATACTCTATCCTTGAAACCAAATAATTTACATATTCTAGATGTGTAACTAAGTAAATCTGGGCAAAACAGTATTGAATCTTCTTAATATAAAGATAATGATGCTCTACTAAAAGATCTCTGACTTCAAAGCCATAGCTTGGTTTCTAAAAGTCCCATTCGATGAAAAGATTGAAATTGATAATTTATAATTTTTCAAAAACAACAACTATGAATGATTGAATGAAAACAACATGTGACTTTACAGTCAGTGAGCAGCCCTGTTAAACTCAATTAAAAGAATGGAACAAATAAACCCCAAGGGCATGTTAGAAAATTTTCATACACACAGCCTGAGAAGCTTCTCCCAATTAAGAAGATTGTGAAATACCATTAAGTTTATATATAGAGGTTTTCTATAGTCATTGCAACACATTTTTAAAATAAATTGAGTTTGCCCTCCCAAGCCCCATAATAGCTTATTTATACACAATGCACCTAAATTTTGGTACTTTAGGGTGACAATACAAATTATTTGAAAAGTAGGTTGCGAAGTCTAATTTAGAACTAAAGCTGAGGTGCAAACTCAATTTTTCCATTTAAATATCTACTCAGGTCGGAGCATTGGATGAATGGCAGTACTGCAGAAGTTTGATTTACCAAAAGGATATCTAAGTAAACTAGTTTTCTTGTTTCTTCTACTTTTCCTATAATTAGCCATTTCTACAGCAACTCATTCCAAGAGCTATCCCTTTCAACTGTTTTCTAGAATCTAGACCACCTTATCCTCAATCCTGCTGTTATTAGACAATGAGGTGGTCCTGGGAATACAAGTACACTCAAAAACCACATATTCTCTTTGGCCAACTAAAAAAATTCAAACGAGACAAAAGGCTTTACAAACATGGACCTTTCAAACATGACCCCTTAAATGACTTGTATAATAGTCCTACTCCTAACCAAAACAAACTAATTCTTTAAAATCCCCAAATTATACATCATCAAATTAATTAATAATCCAGTGAGTTGCAAGAATCCTAGAAGACTGAAATCAAGTGAAAATGAAAACTAAAAAAATACTCACTCAATATATGTGTGTGTGCATAGATAGAGAGACACATAGATATATACTCGAGGTTTCACTTTCAAAGGTAAGCTAGACAACAATTTTCGGGACCTGGGTTGAATCTTTATATTTGGCCGGCTCGGCACAGGAGTGACTTCACAAATATAAACCTTTCCATCATGATTAATTTTTTCATCATTTACAATCGAGCCTAAGATTCACTGTTTTTTCAAAGATTCACTATTTTTTGGCTTGGGAATATTATGGAATAAAGCAAAATAGGTCATTAAAATGTCTGCACTTCTTACTCAATGCAATTTCAGAAAGTCTTTGTGCTCTTTAGCACAGGGGCAAGATCACAGAGGGAGCCTTTGCAGCATTGGGGTAATCATGATGATAAATCTATTCAAAATCCCCAACCACCCCTTGCAGCCCCACAAAAAGGATAAAGATTTGAGCTTTGCGTGAAACAATCCCAACCCAACAATTCTAAACATACCAAATCTGCTTACTAAAGAGAAAGAAGGGGGATTTGGGTGTTCGGTAGGGTTGGTTGAAATGACCTTTCCTGGCCAGCAGTGTCCCAAATCTGAGCTTTGATGACTTTTCCATCGACGGTGAGACTCTTGGTGGCAAACTCAACGCCGATAGTGGACTTGGACTCCAGATTAAACTCGTTCTTGGTGAACCTGGACAGCAGGTTAGATTTGCCCACTCCAGAATCTCCGATCAGCACAAGCTTGAACAGGTAATCATACTCATCTTGTGCTCTGTACCCAGCCATCTCTTCTCCTGGCTTTAATTCGACGACTCAAGGAAGTGAGCAAAACAATCGGAAGAAGAAAGTCTACTATTTCTTGTCTGGGTTTGGCTAGATTCTTGGAGCAAGAAACCTTAGGAGTTGGAACTCAAGTTCTACTCTAACACTAGTATGGAGTATGAATCAACGATTGCTGAATTTACATATATACCCGTCGATGTCGACCCACATCGCCATCTCAAGAAACAGATTACTAAATGCCTTCTAATCGAGTAACTTTTTCAAATATTGAGTTTTTGAGCAATTGTAGTACTAGTAATTTTTTGAGAGAACAATTATATTACCTCTCTCCCACTCAACTTTGTGAAGTTGATGTTAGTTGAGAAATTAGAATAGTAAAATTTGTGTGGTTGAGGTTTGTGCAGAGGAGATAGAAATGAACAGATTCACAAGAACATTGTTTTAAAAGAAAAGTGATAAAGTTTTTTGAGACAAACAAAAAAGGAAAGTTGATAAAATACATTAGGACGGATGGAGTATTATTTTTGATAGAGCAAAAGTGCATTCAATCCTTTAGTTTATTCGCTCATTCGTGTAAAAATCATATGAACGTATTATTCATCTATAATACTTCCTTTTATAGAATATTCTCTGTATAATACTTCGTAATGTATCATATATATATTCATACATACTTTTTACAAAATTATGATAGTTAATATTAGAGGAAAATAATTAAAATACTTCAAACTTTGAAGATGTGTGAGATGAACACTCCAAACTTTCATATTTGATTTAAATACCTCAAACTTTATATAAAAAGTATTTTTAGCATCATAGTCAAGTATATTATTTCTTTCAAAAATGTAAATTTATGGTGTTAATTGCATAATTTAATAAATATATGGTATGTCCTTCATTGTCCCGTTTGACTTTGTAAATTTAATAAATTTAAGGTATTTATTTTATTCTATAATTTTTTGTATCAACTTACTATTTGAGAAGATTTTAATGTTGACTTACTTCATTTTAAGTTATGTAAACATGATGCTATTTTCCATGATTTGAGATTGATTTTACATGGTTTCATGGTGAAAGAAAATTTGAAAATTATATCATTTTGTTTAAAATTGCTATTTTTTATATTGTAGTTATTACTTGTTGTATGGTTATACCTATAGATCCAAATTCCTTTACTCGAGAAAAACTACACATTAAATTTTTGAAGAGGGTGGATAGGTTTTTAAATGAAATTGTCATTCTATATATCATATCATTAAATTACTCATTATTTATATCATTAACATTACAAAAAAATTACGGGATACATGAATTTGTCATATCTCTGTCAAAATCTCTGCCAATTTTGGGAAATCTCTGCCAAAACTCTCTGTCAATCTCTTGTTTTTTTGTAGTGTAAATTAGTATTTAAGACACATATTATGTGTCATATGTTTAAATTGCACGTGGAACGTTTAAAATATGTCCATATCTGTATCTATATTACAAACGTATAAAACATATATTCAGTCATATTTATATAGTTGTATTAATTGTAAATGAACATCAGGGGTGGCCCTAGGTGGGGGTGGGGGCAGGGTACATAGGCCCAAAAAAGTGAAAAAAATTTAGGCCCATAATTTTTTCTTTATATTAGGTTTGAGTAGGCTGAGTTTTTAGAGTTAAATTACTACTTTTGTCCAGCCCAACAACCCAAATGCCCAAGAATACGTAGCAGACTAACAGCTCGTCGCCTATTACCGGAAGTTGCTGAGTTATAGGAGATTTATTTATGGCATATTTCTTTTATGTTAAAGAATCGTTTCTTAATTATTGTAGTGGTATTATTTCAGGATTCTTCCTCCTTTTATGAGTTAACCGATTCATACATATCGGATAATTATTTGAAAATGTTGCAAAATGTTTTACCGGATGACAAAGACATTGTCCTTCAAATTCTTGAGTTTGTGAAGACTATGAGTTACTATCTGAACACAACAATTGCTTATAGGATATTATTGACAGTACCGGTAACTATGGCTACTGTGGAAAAATGTTTTTCAAAGTTGAAGATTCTCAAGAATTATCTGCGATCAACGATTTCTCGAGAAAGGCTTAATGGATTAGCTATACTCCGTATTAAACATTGAGCATAATGTGTTAGAAAAGCTTGATTATGAAGCTATAGTTGATGACTTTGCTTCGCAATGTTCAGCAAAGAATGTATTTAAGTAAATTTTTATTTGGTTATTTCAAAAATGTTTAATTTAATATACGAATTCAAGTATTTTCTTTATTATAAAGTTTTTCAAATATTATTATTTTACATGTTAATTTAGACAAAATTGAGTTTTATACTTTTTTAAAATAGGTCAATTTTAAATTATTTGTCTCTAGGCCTTCAAATATACAGGGCTGGCCCTAATGAACATGAGTTTTATTGTATTGTCTAGGAACCATAATACTAGTAACAAAGTAATTTGAATCTATTAAAATTAAGGTTGAAATGAAACTAGGGCTGCTAATGAAGCGATTCAAACTCGAATTCGACTTAGATTGAGTCGTACTTGATAAACAAAGATTGCTTATCAAACAGTTAAAAGAAGTTCAGTTATAAAATTAAAAGCATCAGGGTCATCAAACAGAGTGTTGGCTCAAGTACTTTTTGGAGTATTTCGTGGTTTGATGTTGTTTCATAGTTACTATTTCTACTTTATTTTTTAACTTTTGCTCCTTTGTAGCTAGTTAGTTGTTTGTTCTCATGTGTGATATGTGCATTCTTATAATAATGGAAGAACATGATCAATCATACTTTTATGGAAAAACTATCAAATAGGCTCTCATACTATACAAAAAAAATATCAATTAAACCTTTGCAATTCAAAATCAACAAATCCACTATTATCCTGCATCCAGCTAGTAGGGGTGGGCGCGATCCGGGACGATTCAGGATTTAGCTTATCCCGATCCCGATCCGGTTTTATAATAACGGTCTGGTACGGTTCGGGACAAGTATTTATCCCAATGTTGTCCCATTTAAAACGCCGTGACTGGGACAACCCGAGAAAAACTGAGATGGTTCGGGACATCCCATAAAATATGCTGATAGAATATTGACTTTTAGAGAGAAGTGAGAGCTAGAGAGAGAATTGCAATGAATGTGCAATAAATGTATTTTTCAACCCCTTACAACTACTCCCAATAGGAGTATTTATAAGAAAAATATGGGTTGCGCTCCCAAGTCTTAGGCTTGGGAGGCCCATTTCCAATGAGACCACTACTCGGCCGAATACATAGTATGTAATTTGACTAAGTATGAAATCTAGCTATGCTTAGTCTCTGTGGCCGAATGAGGTCTGGCCGACGGAGCCCCTAACCAACGGAGACCCGGCCGACGGAGGACCCCCGGTTCTCCTGGTTTCTGGACTGTATTCTGAGTTGATGTGTGTTCGGTCAATGGAGGTCATCTGGCCGACGGAGGACCCAACAGGTGATAGCTGTGTTTCCTCTTATTCTTCTGAGTATGTGGGTCATGAGATCTAGACCCATATACTCTATCAGGAGTCCCCCACTCTCTGAGCTGAGATGTAGACGAAGTGAAAGTGAGAGCTAGAGAGAAGTGAGAGTTAGAGAGAGAAGTACAATGAATGTGCAATAAATGTATTTGTCAATCTCTTACAACTACTCCCAATAGGAGTATTTATAGGGAAAATATGGGCTCGACTCCCAAGTCTTGGGCTTGGGAGGCCCATTTACAATGAGGCCACTACTGGGCCGAATACAGAGTATGTAATTTGACTAAGTATGAAATCTATATATGCTTAGTCTGTGACACCGCACCCGAACGTCCTTGAAATTCAAATTAATTTCAAAGTTTATGTATTGATTTTCCCTATTATCGAATAATTGTAAAATGATTAATGTTTTACGCAATGCATGATTGATCATACTGCCGTTTGGGCTCGTATAATAGTAATGGGATTTCAAATACTTAATTGGGCCATATTATTAGATATAAGACCCCAACACTATTTAAATAAAGATATATAACCTTTCGACACAAGTTAAGGAAAGTCGGGCAGCCCAAACATTATTTTGGGCCCAACCTGCTAAAAATAGTAAGTATTCAAGAATGGCATCTTAGGTCCACTTGAGAATAACCCACACGGCTAGTAGCCCAGAAATATGAATACTAATATCATAAATAAGTGATAGGATGATTAGACAAGAATACAAATGCCTATGGTCTCATCGTTGACATTATTGAGCTAAATAATGGGAGTAGGTTTTTTTTTTAATAATGGGAGTAGGTTTTTCTTCTATAATATTCATCATGTAAATTATTGGGATGATCTTGCACATATTGGAGATCAATAATATGATGTAGTGAGTTGACTTGGTCTATTTAAATTATAGAGAGTACAGAAAGACATCTCATGACAAAGATAAAACAATAGGATCCATCTTCCCATTTTTGAGAGTTTTTGGTAGATATTTTGGACCCCAAATTGATCAGGATCAATTGGGAAGCATTCCACATGGCTTGAGTACCTGAAAGACAAAGAAAATTAAGTGTGAAGACTTACCTTGGCCGGACAACATGGAGAGGAGCTGCACATGACACAATTGGCATCAAATTTGGGGCCACCTAGTCAATTTCCGCCCAAAATAAGTGTGCTGGTTTAGTGGTGGACTCGGGCCGGGTGGCCCGACCCGGAACCGGCCCGGGACCGGCACTGTTCCGGCCCGTCCCGAACTGGTGGCCCGGTCAGTGACCGGCCCGTGTAGGCCCGATCCGAGGGGTTTCCGGTTCGGGCTTGGGTCAACCAAAACAAGGCTCGGGCCCGGTTCGGGGCCAAATTAATTTTTTTTTGTTTTTTTCATTTGTTTGGGCTTGGTTTGGGTTGGGCTTGATGTTTAGGAGGTGTTTGGGGGGTTTGGGGGGTGGGGGTGAGGGGGGTCAGGGATAGGTAGGTAAGCAAAAAAAAAACCAAGCCCGAGGCCCAGACCGGCCCGGACTGGAACCGGACCGGACTCGGTGGCTACCCAGGCCGGTCCCGGGTCCACCTATTCAGACCCGCCGGCCCGCCCAGGCCTAGGCCCGACCTGGACCCGGCCCGACCCGAATCCACCCCTATGCTGGTTCTCTCCATCCATAATGGGAGTTGTACTCGTCCAAATAATGTGATTAAGGTGTCCCTGGATAGCCTTTGAAGT